TAAATGGACCTTGACACACATTTTATATGTTTATGTTATGTGTTGAATCAGTAAGCCCATGTTAATATATATGCCTGAATACAGTTTTAGAATATGAATTTTTTGAAGTTTTTAAACAGTTCCTAATTTTAATAAAGAGTCTATAACTTTTTCTTTGGAAATTTCAGTTTAAACGAAAGAATTTATACAACAACAATAAAGAATAAGAGTTACAAACTGAACTTTAAGTGCATTTTAATACATTGAATTTGAGACCTTTTAACAATTAAGAAATTAAAGTGATTCAGAACCTTTTGTGAGTAATATTCTATGAAAAGACAATACATGTACATGTATTGTCTTATCCAGGTTGATAAAAAGTAGATATTTTATTTTAAAAGATTAAAGAAGTTCCCATGGAACACCCTTTGAACTTTTGTACTTTTTCTAAATATTTAGACTTACAGTAGTTCAATTTCTTAAATCATGTTAAATTTCTTTTGTTTTATTATAATGAAACAAGACTAATTTTGAAATTATGCATCATTCATGGATATTTTGATTTCTTAAGTCTTGTAAAAGGATACATTTAATTACTTTTAATCATAAAGAAAATATGTTAAATTTGCATATAAATAAAAATTCAGTGTTAAAACCCTTGCATTACATATATTTAGTTTAGCTCTTCTGGTTTTCCTTATCAAGATGTTAGGTTTGAATTTATGGGGACACACATTTATCAAACATAAGAATATATATGTAAGTTTTGGAAATGTGTAAGTTGTATGTCATTGGGAGGTTAGACTGATAAATAACATGAGTTTTGTTTGTGGTATTTGTATTGTACCTATATAAAACATTTATATTGATTGCTATAAAGTTGGCTATAAAATGCAAGTATATTGATACTTAAGAATATTAGGGTTAGATTTGAGTCTTTAACATATATACTTTTAGAACAATTATGAGAGATATGCATTTAAGGCAGATTTTGTGTTGGGACAAATGAAGAAAATTAACATTTAAAACAGTATTAAAATTTGTGCTTACAGAAGATAAATTTAAGTTTCTGCATTTATGGTTACTATTGATGTCTATAAAAAAAATTACATAACTTAAAAATAATGTAATATTTTAATAATAAAAGTATTTATGTTAGTTCTAAGTAAGTAATTTTCTTTTATCATTAAATATAAATTACTAAGTGTATGAGAAGTGTTTTGCCAAGTCAAGATTTTTGAGTCATTGTAAAGTTAATATTTAAAGGATTAATATATCTAAGCTATTATTTTACTTAATATGTTGGTAAAAATTAAAATGGATATTTCTTTGTAATAGTATCTGATAGGCAATTACAACAAGTGCATGAAGGAAAAACTTTGTTATTTAACTTATTTGATCCGATAATTTCAAAATCCTTAGTGTAAATTTATTAAAATTTGCATTACTTGGGTTTTTTAAACTTATGAGAAACAACTTACTTTTTATATGATCAAGGAAAATATGTATATAGTTGATGATTAATCATCCTTTCTAGAACATTGAAACCTTAAACTTCATTTAACTAGTAGTTATATTTTTGAACATGTTTTTATTATGTTCATAATACAAGTATTAAATTATCTTCTAACAATTATCTGTCTTATCTTTTCATCTTTGAACAGTGTGTGTTTACATTTAATTTTCTTAGCAAAACAAAATAAATTGTATTGTTTACAGTTGACTTCACTAATTTAATAAAGAAAGAATTAAAATTTAAACCACAAAAAATGTCATATATATATATACTTACAGTTGACTTTTAAAATATGAAGTATTGCTCATGTTGTTTAAATTATTGTCTACAAATTTAACATTCTGGATTTTTTTTTCCATTTGTTTAGAATCGTTTATTAATATGAAGTGAGACCAGTCTTTTTTGAGAATTTTTTTATATGTTCAACATCAAACAGATTATTTTTTAACATTAACAAGCTCTTAAAATGCATAAAAAAAAGTATGTTAGAATTCAAAGAACTATTAATTTCATCATGGAATTTTCTAGTAAAGAACATATGTTAGATATATTCAGCTAAATTTTTTGCTTATGTAATACATATAGTTAGCGATGTTTGGATATTGAGAGGTCATAAACTTCTACCTTAGAGATTAAATAACACAGTGATTTTTTAAAGCCTTATACTTAACTTTGCTTATTTCTGTGCCATGGTCTTTTGGAGTTTAAATATGTGTAATGGAAATTATCATTGATTTCAATAACCTAAGGATATGTGAAACCACACTATGACATAGGTATGGCCTGATAGTCTTAAGTATTCTCAGTATTCTAATTCATGATTATATAATCGTCCTGTGAAGAAGTAAGAAATCTGCTTTCTTCTGCCCCAGCAGCCTGTTGTAGTCAACAATGAATATAAACCAACCATTTAACTCGGAGCTCACAATAATTGTGAATAATGATTTTGTTTATTATTCACTTGTGTTTTTCAATTCTAAATTACCCTCAAATTACTCCATTTGCATAACACTTCTGGAATCGACTGTATTGCAAGTACTTATGTCAGAAATCAGTGTACCTTGATGCCACAAATATGTTACAAATAAGAAGATGGCTGCAGATTAGTTACTGTGAATATAAGTAATCTGTATTATGTAACTCATCTAGTAGTATGCCATTATGTTTCTGAAGTTAGTATTACAGAACTACTGAAAAAGTTCTGTCATGTGCTGTAATTTCAAAGTAGAAAATTTACATATTTGGAGTTCATTTATACTGGTGAGCTAATTAGATGAATGAAGCTAAAACACAAAGAATAAATTGTCATTTTTAAAAAGACATCAAACAAATTTAGTTGATAACAAATCAACTAATGTGTTTACAATACTTTTTTCTTTCAGTAAAAGCAGAAATGCACTGCAGTAAATGTAAACTCAAAAAATGTGTAAATTTGACATGATTGGTAGGCAAAATTCTGCAAACACTATTGATTCATATCCCACAAAAGTACATAATCTTTCTTAACATTTTTGAATAACAATATCATCCTATTTTTGCAGTTTTGTCTTTAACTAGTTGGTGCACTTCAGTAGGGGGCTAGCAGTCTATTTACCAGACAACTCATCAAACTTTACAGTAATGGTAATAAAATAAGTCTGAGTCCAACAAGTACAAAAAGGCTAATCTTAATATAAAAACCTGCATAAATGGAAACTACTGTTAACAAGTGTTAACTGCTTCTCTGAATGTTTTATTTACAATTATTGACATAATTAATTTTGTTACAACATAATTTAACATCAAGTACTGGACACTATCAAAGTGGCTTGAGAGGGTTTGATTTATTGATATATCAATATGAACTAGTAAAATCACATCATCTTTCCAAGATTGTAAGTTTCAACAAGGCTAAAACTGAGACACTGATTTAAATTTAAGCAATGAAAAATTATTGTATATGATTAAAAGGAAACTGAAAATTACGTTGTTCAAAATTTAAAGGATGAAGGTTAAAAAAAAAGATAATTTTCTTGCAAGTTGGAGTAATCTAATAAAAGAAAGGTCATCCAAGAAAAATATCCAGGTAAGGGGATATTGTTAATCAAAAATTTTAACATCAGATCAGCTAAAAACATACCCAGACATAACTTTAAATGTTCGGGATATGTATAAAGTTAGAATCAGCAATAAAGCTGTTCAAAGCTTATTGCAAGAAGGTGATCTACAATGGAAAAGTTGCTGTGAAAAGCTACATTTTTTCATCTGTGAACATGGTCAAGGGTTTTAACTTTGCAAAATATCACAAAATGGGAAATATGCATAGCAAAAAGTTTAACTGTTTCAAAACTTGGAGTGTTTTCATGCAAAGAGTGATTGTGAACAATTTAAGAAACTGTACAAAACTGAGAAACCTGTTTTGCTGATAAAACAATACAGTTGCTGTTTTTCTATCTGCAAAGAAATTTCAGCATTTTTTTTTCCATAAAATATCAGTTATTGTGTTCATTTAATAAGCTTTCATACGTAATTGCATATCTAAAGTATTTTAGTGACTTAGAAAATCACGAATTTCGTCTTTCCTTAAGTAGCTTAGAATATATCTTTAGTTGTATTTATTGAGGTAAACTTTTCAAATTTTCATTCAAGTATTCTGCCTAAGTATGACATTCTTGTTAACCAAAGGTCATAAACATATACCATACCTTTTACTTAGGTAAATATTGCTTATTGCAATGGATAGATACTCGTATCACTCTGACATGTTGTGGTATGTAAACGTGCCATGTGTTTTATGCCTTGTATTAATACAGAATTATTTTAAATTTATAAGTTATTCTGGTTTTCACATAACATTTGACCAAGAAAGTTAAGTTTATTTAACTCCAGCTGCCTTGGTTCCTTTGACATTCTATTGATGTCACATCTGTACTTCTCATGGTAAGTATGGCCGTAATGCTGCATGTTGCATAAGAATGTAGACAGCAGTGCCCTTCAATGGTAGGTCAGGTGGTATCTCAAGGGTACAGCCTCTCTTATGCTTGGATGAGATTGACCAGTTTCATGGGTACTGATTAGTGCTT